CGTTATTTGGACTGGTCATTGAGTTGAAACATGAATATTTACCTGAGGAATGAATTTGTTCTGAGTAGTCAGGACGTAAGACACGTTTTCCCGGAGTTACCCGTCATCCATCCCCGTTCTGACCTGATTCTGATGTAATGTTGATCTTTGTGCTGGGTATTTTTCCAAGGGTGATTGTTCGTGTTTGATTGCTTGAGAATTCGGTAGAGCATTTTCCTCAAGAGGGTGATTTGTTTTTCTGGACAGACCTTAAAGGGGTAGAAATTNTCTGATGTAATGTTGATCTTTTTGCTGGGTATTTTTCCAAGGGTGATTGTTCGTGTTTTCACTGCTTGAGAGTTGGGTAGAGCACTTTTCTCGAGAGGATTATTTATTATTCTTGACAGACCTTTTAGGGGTAGAAGTTTGACATCACAAGGTTTGAAAGCTTTGCAGGACGTGTTCTGTTGGAAGATCCGGCGATTTCGTGGGACATGTTCTATTGGCAGAGTCGTTTGGATTGGAATGGTGGATGATTTATTGTTAGCATAGGGGTTTTGGTTTTTCTGTCTGCCGTTTTGTCTGGCAATGATAGTCGTGTCGGGGATTTCGTAGATAGTATCTCGTACCGAGCAGGGGGGCTGTTTGGGGTGCTCGGCAGAGTATACTGTCGACGGGGCCTCCGGGGGGTACGAGGATGGAATGTATTGACAGACATGCTGCATGGCGATGGTGTGGCCTACCGCATGTCTCTTACTCTCTAAGCAACAAGGTCTTGAGTCAACCTTCTTTCTCTTTCGGCCTCTGACGAGCTACCGCACCCAAACATTTTTGTGCTCCGCGATTCAACAAAATCGACTCAGAAAATTAGAGAAATGCATCCCCCCCGAGGGGAACTCGTGGGAAAACTGGTACTCCAAGGGGAAATTGAAATACCCAGGGGGATTTTTTTTTTTTTGGTCCAAAGCGATTTACCTCGAGGCTAACTCAAGAAAACCATGCTTCCAGGCCGAAAGGGTCATGGGGGGAGGGGAAAACTCCACTGGGGGGGGGGGAACTCCGACGTTTACGGTAGGTAGACATCACGCCGCGCAGAATTTTTTCACAAAATTTGTTCACACGGAACGGCAAAAAGATTAACATTTTTGTGTCGCAAACACCGTCGCCGACAATCTCGCTTGGAGTTCGGTCGTTCGGTCCTCGTATGTACCTAGATGAACGGAGCGTGGCGGTGCACCCCTTTCTCTTCCCACCGGGGAGGCTGGCTTCCTACGAAAAAAGCACTGGGTGCCTGAAGTGCACACCGCATCGCTTTTTCAACATCCCCACACACCTACCTCCGCCCACGCGGGTCACCATGAGGGCGTCCGCCACGACGATGAAGCGGGAAGCTCCTCTTCCTCCTCGTGCTTCGTTCAGGTCTCCGGTATCACCTCGCCTCATCAGTTCCTTTTGTCTGACTTCCCCGGGCGTTTTTATCTCTCGTTGGGTTGGAGACGGAAGCGTTCGAGGCAGTTGTCCTGCAGCAAGCGCGCGTGTTTTAACGCAAAGCGAGCACGTCTATGATTGTCGAGAGTGGGATAGGTTGTCCTACCTAACCTTACGACCTGCGACAAAGCAGTTGGTACGCGCTGCTACGCAGCTATGCTACTGCCTGTATGCATGCGTGCGTGTCGCATGTCTCGAGTCTCGGTGGATATTTGAAATTTCAAATGTTGACTTCAGGCGTACGCTACATAGCTCCGGTTTCAGTCTGACGGTCCCCCAGAGCTGCGTCGTGAACATGTGTAGTTTTCCAGCTTTGGACGCCCAACCGAAGCGAGGAAGCCAGGTACGAGCTAGCACTGCATCAGGGGTGTTGAGGGAGGATAGGAGGCCCACCCGTTGGATCGTTTTCTTCGCGCGAGTGCCTGATGGACCGCAGCAATATCTTGTCCTTTGGCGTGGCTCGCGTTGTTCTCCGCCGTCGGAAAATTCGCAAGAGTGCCTGATGGCCTAATGAACATGCTCCCGAACCAAACGAACATGCTCTCGCATCAAATCCCGGAGTTTAACGAACTGCTGAAAGCAACGAATAAACAAGTGCAGTAGTAATACCGTCCTGCGTCGTGCTATCCGCCCATTCCAGCCCTAGTTCTTTCCAGTGAAGATTTCCACATCGGTGATGACTGCGGCACACATCTCGTTGCTCCTGCACCCTGCACCACTCGCCGAATCTCCGACGGCGGAAAAACAACACGAGCGTTTCCCACCCCAAACTTGACTCGTATGAGTCGCTTGCTTGACAGGCAGACAAGGAGAGAGAGACAAAGAGGTAGTACACATTTTGGCCTTTGTTTACTTTCCGCGGCGTTCTTGGCCTGTCGTTGTGCCTTCCGTACTCTGCGTACATATGCATACGATATTATTATGCATCATAGTCTACAGCAGTAGACTAGGTGTCCCGGTCTGGTGCCAGTTGAACAGTACCAAAGTCCGGTTTGGTGCCGGTAATTTTTCTTGGCACAGACAGAGGCCTGAATAGTGCAAACCGGCAATATTGAGGGCTGCGCACTTCAGCAGTGCCGGTTCAGCAGGCATTATTAATGTACCCCTCAATAGTGCCGGTTCAGACCACATACACAGCCTTTCTTCGCCTCAAGGCCTACCACACCAACAGGATTCGTAGACGGTTTACCTTCGAGCTACAACTTCTCGTTTTCTGTCGGTACGAACTCGTGACGTCCTCAAATGTCATGATGTACCGATTGGGCTAATTCAGCCATTAGGTTGGGATTTCAGTAGTAGTGAGGCGGGTGAAGAGGGGGATGGTGGTACAGCAGTAGTGGCGAAGGATGTGGAAAGGGAAGAATAGCAAAGGATAGCAGTAATGATGGAGGATGAAAAATGGCGTTCGTGATAACAAGAGTTTCGAGCCAGATGATGAACTTCCTCACAACAAACGCCGCAGGGAGCATGATAAAAAATAGTGGAAATATTGGTGACGAGAGCAGTGGTGATAAATACAAGGACAATGATGAAAACACTCCGAAACGAACGCGTGTGCAAAGTAACTAGCCTTGCTAGGCACGTGTTGTTCCTTCTGTTGCTACCGTTTCTGTCATTTATCAGAATAGCTTAGCCTCCTCCACGACATCTTCTCACAGGGTCCCAGATGAGGGCCTGGAGAAACATTCTTTTGTGTTTCAACCGTGTACTGAGACTGACATATTTTCGTTGCTCAGTCGTTTGCGCGGTCGATGCTAGCAATAAACAGAGACATAGACGCCATGCATACGCGTGACACCACCGGTAGTGGTGCGCGTGCTGCTGCTAAACACTTTCCAGCTCTACCGTAAATGACACAAGATAACACACCCTCTGGACCGAATTTCAAATCTCGATTTCTCAACAACAGAAAGAGTCACGGCACCGAAAACGGCGGCGTTGGAACCGTCTTGTCGAGAGCTTTCCAAAAATGGATCGTTTCTTTTATCTCCTCCATTCCTTTGAGTTTCATCTGCCTTTTTTGGTTGTGCTCATGTGAGGAGCTCTACATTCATGTTGTACTTGCAAATATACATCGGGTGCGTGCGTGAGCGTCTTTTTTCCCCTGTCGAGGGGTGCGTTTGAGGTTGCATGTAGTGCTGCGGCCTTCTTGTCACAACAGTAGGACATCATCTCATAGCGATGCCTTTTTGATCGGGCAGCACGGTTGACGGTTTATAGGCAGCAGCAACGCTTCACTATGCGTGCGCTGAGGTGGTAAAAGAACAACTGTGCAACAAATCTATCTGGTCAAGTTTATGTTCATGTGACCAATGCCGTGTTTTCGACAGTCCAGGAGTCTCACGGAACTTCAAGAAGCCCGCCAACGTAGCCCACCTCACGATTGTGCTCATGTGAGGAGCTCCACATTCATGTTGTACTTGCAAATATACATCGGGTGCGTGCGTGAGCGTCTTTTTTCCCCTGTCGAGGGGTGCGTTTGAGGTTGCATGTAGTGCTGCGGCCTTCTTGTCACAACAGTAGGACATCATCTCATAGCGATGCCTTTTTGATCGGGCAGCACGGTTGACGGTTTATAGGCAGCAGCAACGCTTCACTATGCGTGCGCTGAGGTGGTAAAAGAACAACTGTGCAACAAATCTATCTGGTCAAGTTTATGTTCATGTGACCAATGCCGTGTTTTCGACAGTCCAGGAGTCTCACGGAACTTCAAGAAGCCCGCCAACGTAGCCCACCTCACGATTGATCCGTACCATTCGTTTGGTACTCTGTCGGCCCCGCAAAGCGCAAGCGCTGCAATCAGAAGTCGAACAGTCCTCAATAGTGCAAAGCCAGCGGGCAGTAAGGATTAAGGAGTTTTAGACCATGAATATTGCCGGTTTGGCACTATTCAGGCACAATCCTGAATAGTGCCGGTGGCCGGTATTAGTGCCGGTCTACCCTCCTGGACACACCGGCACTATACCGGGACACCCACTGCACGTCGTTGTTTGTTTTTCGCATGTCTGTATCTTCGTCTCGTTGCAGGCGGGTGCGGGAAGCCCTTAGGCTCGCCTTATGTAGCTCCCTCTCCTTCGCTGGCGCAGCGCCTGGTTTTTCTGGTTGTTTAACTTTTTCGACTTTCGTTCTTTTGTTCACGTTTGTTTTGTTTCCAATGTTCATGTAACGCGCCTTGCAACACATGATATCTTGCCCGGAATTCTCAACCGTGGTCACACAGAAGGTTCCTCTCCCTGAGCCCCCCCACTCCATCCTTCTGCAGTGCTTAGCCTGTAACTTCTAGTGTAAAAAAGTATCCGCCACCTCTCGCCACTGTGTACGCGCTGGCGCCTTCCACCGGCAAGAACGAAAGCGAGAGCGAAACTCGATTTCATGCAAAAGAAGTCGCTAGCGCCGGGACTCGAACCCATGACCTGCCTACTATTATAGAGAGTTGCGAGTCTACCAACTAGACCACCGAGGCGACCGGTTGTCTACGCTTTGATTAGCGCCAGCGATACGTAGGACCCTCTCGGTGCCCATTTTGGTGTCGCCGGACGCTTACGTACAAGACGTTGCGTCGTTTCTTTCCGGCGTCGAGTGTACCCAGTTTTTGTGACCACGGCTCCCATGGATGTTTTGGAATAGAGAGCTATTGTAAGTGTGAGAGAAAACAAAACACACACATGTACAGCAGAGGGAGTCTGGATGCTGAGTCGTTGGCGCGCAGGGAGAGACTGAGACTGGCCGATGTCGTGTTGGAAAACAACAGCGAGGTGTGAGTAACGTCGCAACGATTACGGTCGGCTCCTCGGTCTCATTCGCATCCATCCCACGTCATTGTTACTGCTCCCCGTCCCCAATGCAATCTTGCGACGAACGTCCCTCTAGGTGTGGATCTCTGCCTCGTCATGTGTGACGTGCCTGAATACAAGGTGACCGGTTCTAATGACACTCGCATCCCCGTCACCATCCTGACGGGTTACCTTGGTTCCGGCAAGACCACGCTCCTGAACCACATCCTGGCCGACAGCACCCATGGTCTGCGTTTCGCGATCATCGAGAACGAGTTCGGCGAGGTCGGCATCGACGACGCGCTGATCGCCTCGAAGTCGGGTCAGACGGCAATTTTCGAGGAGGAGGAGGTGATCGAGGTGATGAACGGCTGCATCTGCTGCACGGCCCGCGGCGACCTCGTGGGGGCCCTGAAGCGCATGAGCAAGAAGCTTTCTTCCTTCGACGCCGTCCTGATCGAGACCACCGGCATGGCCGACCCCGCCCCCGTGGCGCAGACCTTCTTCGTCGATGCCGACGTGCAGGACAAGTACCGCCTGGACGGCATCGTGACAGTCGTGGACGCCGCGCACGTGGAGCAGCACCTGGACGATGAAAAGCCCGAGGGAGCCTGCAACGAGTCCCTCGAGCAAATGGCCTTCGCCGACCGCATCATCCTGAACAAGACCGACCTGGTGGGCAAGAAGGACGAAGAAAAGCCGGCCGACGACGCCGGCGGTGCCTGCACTGAGACCGACGCCGCGGTCTCCTACGGCAACAACGCCCTAGCCCCGACCCGGGCCAACGCCAAGAAGGCCAAGGACGCCGCCAAGGCGCCCGCCGAGGCGGCCCTGGCCAAGCTCGAGGCCCGCATCCGCGCCGTTAACGCCCACGCTACGATCATCCGCTCCGAGTTCTCTCGCGTGCCGCCCAAGGAGCTGCTGAATCTGTCCGCCTTCGACCTGAACCGCGTGCTGGACGTGGACCCCGCGTTCCTCACGAGCGACGGTACCGACCACGTGCACGACGAGTCCGTGTCCTCCGTCGCCTGGTCCTTCCCCGGCCTGGAGCTGAACGTCAATCTCCTGCAGAAGTTTATCAGCGACCTGTTGGAGGAGCTTGGCACCGAGCTCTTCCGCTACAAGGGCGTCCTCGCCGTCAAGGGCATGGAGGAGAAGTTCATTTTCCAGGGCGTGCACATGCTCTTCAACGGCGGCTTCGCCTCCCAGGTGCTGGGCCCCGACGCCACCAACATTGACCCCAAGAAGGAGCAGGGCAGCGGCGGCGGCAAGAAGGCAACGCCGCCGGGGCTCTGGGCCAGCGACGCCGAGCGCGAGTGCCGCTTCATCTTCATCGGCAAGAACATCAAGGAAAATGCCGAGAGCCTCAAAAAGGAGTTCCTGTCCTGCACGGCGGAGGAGAAGCTGCGCTTCGCCGTCGGTGACTACGTCGAGGCGAAGAACCGCGGCTGGAAGCTGGCCAAGGTCGTGAAGCACTGGGACAAGGGCAACCCTTACCGCCTCGAGCTCCAGAACGGCGCCAAGACCAACGTGTGGGGTCCCGTCGATTCGGATGATGTAGTGCGCAAGGCCGACAAGGCCAAGGTCGCTGCCGCGGCCAAGAAGGGGAAGAAGGCCGAAGCGGACAAGCAGGGGAAGAAGGTCGAAGCGGACAAGAAGGGGAAGGTTCAACCGGACAAGAAGCGGAAGGTCCCACCGGCCAAGAAGCGGAAGGTGTAAGCGGCCCGTGGCATCCCTCAGGTAAACTTTCTTGCCTCTGGTGGCAAAGTTTGTGCCTAGTAATTGCGTTTCAGCCCTTTGATCCAGTGGAATGGCGAAAGGGAGGAGGATTTCTGTTGTGGTGGCTGGACGAGAGAGAGCAGCTCGGAAGTATCAGATAAATGTGGTTGGCGGAAGAGGATGGAGTAGGCAGTCGTCGAAGAGAGAGCAGATTTTGCATGACTGAAACACGAGGCGGGCTCGAGCGTCGCAGACGAAAATTCCGGTTGTGAGAAATCCGTGAAGACCCATACGTGCGGCAATTTTGTTGTATCCATCCACTGGAAGAATCTCTGAGTTTCTGGTGCTCGTGCATTCTCGGGTTTTTTTTTTTTTTTCTCCCATCATTGGATTCTGTCGTCTGCCCCTCTGGCCCCTATCCTCCACTTCTACCAGCTAGACGACCCAACCGGGGTCACATAGGAGGGGGGGGTTGGACCCCTCCTGCGGTTCCTGCCTGAGATGTTTTTATCGCGAGAAGGGTACAGCAATCCCTTCCCTCGCGACTTATGAAGTCGATCAAGTTTACTAACAACGAGCTTCGCAGCGCGTCGCTTCCAACGGAGACCAAGATTTTTTAAGCGAGAAAAAACTCACTCTGTCGGGACTCGACCCCATGACCTGGCCCTTAGCAGGCTACGAGGCTACCCACTAGACCACCGGGTCGACCGGTATATGCCCTGCTGAACTACTATTTTTTACTCGTTGAGTATTGCAGGAAAACACTTGTTTTATTTTTTGCTCATCCCTCTTTCGTCACTCCTCCTCACTCCACTTTTTTCACATGAAAAGATGTCAGAAACGAGAGTAATGACACCTCAAGGTTGTGTGGTTGGAAGTGATGGTGAGAAAATTCCTCGCTTGCGTGCGTTTGAACGTTGCGCGTCGCGTGGTCGTTGGGGAAATCAATATGAAAGTCCAGCAAGAAGTTACGTTGGAAGTCAAGCTTCATATCTGTTCTTTCTTCGGTTTTTCCAGGGTGCATGAGACTCAAGACCCGCCTTCTCCAGGCGCAGGCGATGGAGGCGTTGCTGTACAGCGGTTGCATGAGTTGGCCTCCACGTTGCGACCAGGGTACCGTGGCACTCCAGCGTACTGCAGGGAGCTGAGAGGTTCATGATCGCTTGGCACAAGGACGAAGAGGAGGCTAGCCGACAAGGAGCTATCAAACGAGGAAACGGACCGAGAAATAGGAGTAGTATAGATAAACCGACAGGGTGGGAGGAGGGCGGGGGAAACGGTGAGGGAGGAAAGCAATCGAGAAGAGGGGGACCGGGTGGCCCGCAAGGTTGCGGATTGAAATTTTTAAGTGGCTGTACTTGTCCCTCGCCCCCCCCCCCCCCCC